GTGAAGATGTATTTGTTTAGTACAGGTGATCTGTCATCACTGATCAGTTAGTTAAGGTCAGGTAATAGTTTAATCTCATTTAGAGTCAGTGGTAAACCGCATCAGTGTCTGGACATGATCATAATGAGCCCATCTTAATTAACCGTGACCTTTGACCTGGTGTGTGTCTGTTCATCTTTATTTGCAGTGATGGGACTGATAGCAGGATAAAACATTTACAATTTCTCATGTTAACAAAATGTATTTGATTTTATTCATCTCAAAAATTTGAACAATCTATACATTGGGTTACACTGATAAATATTGCATTTGCAGGTTAGCACTTCTTAATAGTGTACCATAGTCCATAGTCTTACTTTTATTGTTATATTTTGTAATATCAACCTCAAATTTGGAACACAACTTGTTTAGATTTATGCCTTTGATTTTCTTGCCGTTTTAGAGTAAAACATGTTTTGGATAATATATATTTCATATAACATTTTAAAATAGTCTTTTTTCACACACACACACACACACACACACACACTTGGCAAAGGTTTTGGCACTTGCTATGTGAACACAAAAAAATAATGGATGTGATTTGAAAAGGTTAAATGGTTCTGAAAAACAATAGTCACACTTGAATGGTTAGTGGTCAAAAATGATGGCACTGAAATGAATGGGGAGTGAATTTCATCAAGTAGAAACGTTTGGTATTGCACCCAAACAAAATCTTACTTTTATTGTTATATTTTGTAATATCAACCTCAAATTTGGAACACAACTTGTTTAGATTTATGCCTTTGATTTTCTTGCCGTTTTAGAGTAAAACATGTTTTGGATAATATATATTTCATATAACATTTTAAAATAGTCTTTTTTCACACACACACACACACACACACACACACACACACACACACACACATATATATATGCGATAGATAGATAGACAGACAGACAGACAGACATAGTGAGATAGTCAGATAGGTCAGGTGTATTTTCATGTATCAGCTGCTCGTGACTAACACACTTGTATTATTGGCTGACAGCTGAATCAGCCAATCAGCGCCTTTCCACTGCTTCTTCACGTGCGCATCACCGCGTCCCGTCCAATCAGGTGCTTGAGAGAAACGCGTCGCGCTGCGCTCGAGCCCCGCGCTGTCAGTCCGCCCGGCGACGCGCTGCGGAACGGGAGCGTCAGCTGAAGGTGAACGGACGGCACAGTCGCATCCGCAGGTAAGAACCGCGCGTTTCCTGACGCTGGCTGTGTACGAGGAGACACGCGATGCTGCGAGGAGGAGGAGGAGGAGGAAGAGGTGGATGGTCATGATGATGATGCTGAGACACACACATGTACCGCAGTGCAGACGCGCGCGCGCCTGTTTGACGAACACGGATGTTTTGCTTTGATTTCTGTAACGAGTCAGTCGCACGCGTTGTTTTTCTCACGCGCACCTGTGCGCGCGTCTCATCGCTGCTGGAAAAGGCGTGTATGAAGCATTAAAGATGCACGAAGCGTCAGAAAGGAATCACAGCGCTCATTCAGTGCCAGCACTGCTCTCGCAGGGCGTTAGAGACATACACATGACGAGCAGGGTTAGATATGATGTGCAGCGTTATATAGGGCGTGTAGAGACACATAAACCCTCTCTACGCATCATATCTAACCCTACATGTCTACATGCGTGTGTGCAGTCATGTGTGATACTGTATGTCCGGCCATTACCATCAATGCAAACATCATTTATAAATGACTAGTAAACGCTGCAGCCAAACCGCGCATAGATCTACCTGAGTTTAAAATGATTGATATACTTTTATAGCTTTTTTTTAATATTTTGAATTTGATTTGTGTATATATTTTATTGATTTTTATATTTTTATATTATTCACTTGGAAATTGCTAGTAAATTTCACAAATAATAAAAAAAAAAGAAATGACAAGTTACATGTTGAATTTAATGTGAAAATTTGAAGTAGAAAGACTGAAATAGTATTTTATTGTAAACTGCATTTTTTTGTAATTTTATTTATTTATTTACAACTTAGAAAAATAGTGTGGATTTAGTTTATTTAGTTAGTTAGTTTAGTACTTCAAGCTAAACTCAATTTTAAGTAATGATTTTTTATGGTTTATTTTTTAGTTTCAGTTAACTATAATAACCTTGTGGAATTGCCTAATTAATTATTCAAACACAACAGCCAATGGCAAGTCTCCAGCAGCAGACCTTTCAATATTCCTATTTCTATTAAAAGTAGTTGTGTTTATTAAAATGATATGCAATTTGGGTTTTAAAATTAAATTTTGGCACTGATCATGTGTTTGTCAAGCAAAACGCCATGGATTTAAGAAAACACTTTGACCAACAACAAAAGGTAAGAGTCTGGAGACATTAATGGGACACTGCTATATATGAATAATATATAAATATGGCTAGTCATGATTCTCTGATCATGTGTGGTTTCAGAGGTGGCTCATGGTTTGGGCTAGAGTTAGGACTAGTTCAGGAATGGTCTGGATTAGTGGTCGACCGATATTAGTTTTTTGACAGCCGATGCCGATATCTTATGGCCGATATAAAGCCGATATAATTTGTTTTTAATTTTAATTAATATTTAAGAAATTTGAAATCATTTGACAATGGATTAAAAAATGTGTAAAATAAACATAGTTATACGTTAGATGACAAAGTATTTTTCACAAATAAATAAATATTTAATAAAAATATAATTAAAAAGGAAGTAAACACTGTAACCAACAGGGCACTCAGTATTCTGGAAAATTTGTGTGCATTGGTAATCATATTTTTCAAATAAAGCCAAGGTAACACTCATTTTACATACAGCACACAGAGAAAATGACATGAATATGACATTGGGCAAATGCATAAAGTGCAGCATAATTTGAAATCACGAGTTTAAAGTTTAATGCATTCCATTCACACGGACCGAAAGTCATGCAGAGAACACGCGATCATGCAGGTCACATGCACACTTCACAAGATCTCAACTAGATTCGACTAAGTCTGCAAGGTTTGTGAAATTAAATGTTCATTAGATTTGTTTAAATGATATAAATGCGTATTTGCTGAATGCTGACGGCAAATCAGAAAGTATTATAATGTTTGCCTTTCTATTACTAATAATATAATAGCAATCGTTATAATACTTTTTCTATGCATTAATTCCTTTGTTGAACAGTTATATCGGATTATTAGACAGACTTCTATCTGTATTAGACAGAGCTGTTAACGATGACAGTGAACAAGAGGGAGAATGTGAGCAGTGTGCGCTCAGGTGCTGCCGCTCTCAGCGCCGTCAAAATAAAAGTCCCGCCTCGAACACATCGGGCAAACAGAAAAACGTATTGGCCGAAGCCGATATTTGAAAAATGCCAAATATCGGCCTTGGCGATATATCGGTCGACCACTAGTCTGGATGCAGTATCATGTCCTGATGGTGTTTAATCAGAGGAAGGCTGTTCTGTGGGTTAATCAGCTTCCACATGAAGGATCCTGAGCTTCTGGCCAATCACAGCGAGACCTGTCCTCGTGTCTGTGATATCAGTCTCCTCGTGTTTTCCTCAGGGCTGACGAATGTGTGTTTGACCCGGTTTACCCATCAGCCCCGGGCGCAGGGTCTCCTCGGGATGCTGATGTGTGTGTCTGGATCAGATGTGATGAACGAGCCTCATTAGCAGCATCAGATCCTTATATTGGTGCGCTCAGGTCAAGTCAGAAAGAAGAAAACACATGAACAGTCAGAATTACTTTCAGCCTTGAGTTTACGAGTCTTTAGTTGACAGTAAATTTGTTTGAATGATTTAAATGATTATTTTTTTAATTTACAATAAAACTAGATTGCATGTACAAAACACCATAGATATGTAAGATATGTAACGATTCATTTCACAGCACCTTCATGAATTTAATAAACACAAAGAAATGGCACATTGACTCAAGTGATCTGAACGTATCGGATGTCGTAATTATGACTTCCCAAATCGTAAATATGAAGTTGAACGCACCATATGTCAGAAATCAGTATGGAGAGGTTTGACTGAACAGTCTCTGTAGACTCAGATGTTCACGTGTGACTCTTGAGGTCTCTGAGTTTGGGAGGTTTTCAGCAGATTCGCTCTGTATTTCTACATCTGAAGGCCAGAGAAACAGGAGGTCCACGCGCTGCTCTTCAGGTGATTTTACCAGCACTGAGTGGTTCTACAGTTATGGATGCTGGACCAGACCGTCTCTTCTCACCTTCATCTCGCACATACAGTGTGTCAGAAACAGAAGCAGGGCACTGCATGTGTCTGTAATACAACATATGAAAAATATCATCTTTTGATCAATCTGTCAGTGAACTATTACTGTCATCATCATCAGTGAAATTATTTACATGATGATAAGAGAAGAACAAACACACATGCGCTCCAGATTCAGCTCTGGAAGATGACAGATGATGAGTTATGATGAGTTATTCAGTATAGCAATCCTCTCAAAGCTGCAGTGTGTCATTCCTGCAGCATCAGTGATGAACTGAACACTAACAGTCCTTCAGTAATCAGTGTTTTAGCGTGTGAACTTTGTCCCCTCAGCTCTGAGACTGCGCTTCCCAGCATGCATCTGTGCAATCAGTGTCC